ACAAGAAACACTTAGTTCATCTGGAGAAAATTGAGCGAGTAATAAGTTGGAAACAAACTGAAGAGGAAACAATAAAGTAAGACTACCAAGAAATCAGATACAGCATATATATGGTGTTGAGTCATCCAAGTCTCAGACACATAGAAGAAGAAACAGACAGCACAGACATATGACGAAATAATCATATATGCACACTGAAACTCGAAGTCAATTTGATAAATGACCAGCAAAAAATAAAACCAAAATATGCACACAAAAATACTACAGACTAGAATAGACATGTTGAAAATAAACGGAGAACGACAAGACAGCTATATAGAAAAAATAACCAAGCACAAAACAATAATCAAAAAACCGGAAAAACATACAAACAATCATTCAGAAAACAAGGAGCGAGAGGAAAACCGGGAGTAAATTCAGGTAAAAAAGAAAACCACCCCGTTAAAAGCCTAAAAAATCACAAGATGAACAGAAACATGTCAGTGGTGACTGATGTTGCGTGACTTTGACCAATTCTATTGATTATCGTTTGAGTAGGACTGAGTCTATGCCGGTGTAGCTATGTTAATGTGTATGCAGGTATCCAGTACCATATGACTGAGATTGTGTGAAGTGTTTGGCAGATCTGTTTGCCGAACTAGCCCTGTCTCCTGATTTCGGGAATGAGCGAATTATACACATTGCAAATCATGCATCACTCCGGAATAGTCGTCCTAATTAATTCGATTTATAATCAGCACATCTAGGGTCGCGAGCAGAATTGAGCAGCAAAACAAAAATGCTGAATTCGTTCGGAAAACTGGAAGTGCGAAATTCCACAAAGGAAGTGAAAGAGCTCCTGGTACGATCTGAATTGTGGTGTACCGCTAAGCAGGCCAATGAAGATGAGAAGAGTGTGTCTTACCTGATTTCCATGGATAAATACTGTAATTCGATGCTTAGAAGTTCACCACGTGCCGTAAGTCTTCACTGAAAATCCTGTGACTAACTGAATTTCCTATTACTTATTACTAAAGCTATTTTCGCCAAACAGTTCTATGATTGCAAGTGACAAGTAGCCCACGCCTGTCAATGAATCGAATCCAGTTAGATCTGATGTTGTTATTCCAGTCCTCATGCTTAATGAAAGTGTTGGCCCAAGAATTACTGGAAAAAATGTAACTACCCTTGACTTAAGAGCAACGAATGATCATGCTTTTGATCGAGATGACAATCATTTGAAATCCACCTCAGACAGATGTATGCAAAGTATTCTTTTACTTGCAGATAATGTAGAGCCGACGTCAGTGTTTCCTCAGAATACCTCATGCATCCCCGGATTGATACTACTGAGAAGTGGTTCCTCTGTTGATCCAGGGGATGAGGAGACTTTACAGTTGAATACAGATGACAATCCTGTGGAAACTAATTGACTCCACAGTTCTCTCGAATCCCGGTTCACATCGATTCCTTACATTTGCAATACATCTGCTCCTCAGATAAAACATTACCAACTGTAATTTCTAATCAGCTGATCAAAATTTCAAGGAAGTCCAATTCTCGTTGCTACTACATGTTAGTAACTCCACATTTGTGAATACTACAATTCTTCTGCGTCCAGAAGAAGCCATAAAAAACCATAACTTATTTTTTTTCAGAAGGTGATTAAGAAGGCGAATTCGGAGAGGAATGAAATTGATACTTAGCGGACAGCCGTGTATTCACGCCAACCTTAGATATTGCAGACGCCTCGACATCCGTTGCTTCTTTTCATGGGAACTACTATCCTAGTATGCCCGATGAGTATTACTCATAATTGTAACCTTTGAGGGTTTCATATGAATTTTAGTTTATGTATAGGTATTTTTGGGTTTGGGAGAATAGGAATTCCATGTTGTTTGCGGAAATATATCCATACTTTCTTCAGGTGAGTCGTCTGATTTATGATATCCACTGTTCTTTGAGTAATTTGAAACCGTTTACTTGAAACCCTGTGGCATCCTGTCAGAATAACCCTTGTTTTCTTAAATATAAATCTTTCAATTTGAAGTTGCTTGCTTGTCCGGTGTTACTCGTGAAGCACTTACACTTGCTAACCTATCACAACTTACCCTTCTCCCACGCTTGTCACCACTCCGCTCCTTTCAACCAGTCCTAGGCCAAGTAAATAGAGAGTGGTTTGAGTGACGCAGGGACAATATATGTAACACATGCCCAAGCGGCTGAGACCGGTGTTTTTAGATGACATAATGCAATGAATGACGACCATCCTCATGGCCAAGACATACCACTTCATCTCAGGAATAATTACATGGTGTTTTCACCAGGTGCGAGCAATCCTTTGGAAACATCGGTGGTCGAACACCTGGGTTCTTCGGACACTCTCACCTCGAGAAGGTCAGATTTAATATGTGCAGAGTAGAACTGTCTACCTTGGTAAGTTTTATACCCAACCTATTACAGCAAGATAATTGTCACGATGGCACCATATGTAGTAACTTCGATTAAGGTACGCTACTGTGGATTTAGGTATACGGTTGGGAATCTCATCAGTAACGCTTTCACCAGCGCTCACACAAGTACCCAGGTACACGGACGTTTAGTCAACTTCCGAAGGTACCCAACCAAAGGTGAATTTCAACACAGACTCCTACTGATCTTGCAGAGTCGCCTGATGGCCTAAAGTATATGCTATACTTTCAGACACTGACCACGTACTGATTGAATGCGATCTCATTACCCCTGTACTTCGTCACACAATAAAACGATATCATCCGTATACTCAAGGTTGAGGAGTCTTACACCTGACAGCAAACCTTCCTCACCAATGCACATCTCGGTCACAGATGTTTAGAGAATGTTAATGACATGGAAATTAAAAAGAAATGAAGGGAATGGGTAACATTACCTGACTTCTGTTGACTTGGGACAATTTAGATAGGTAGCAGTATGCCCTAATTCCACCAAAAGTGTTATGTATACAGCGTTCAAGATGTCAGACTTCTCACAGGAACCTTTCTCTAACAGACGATCATAAAATACAGCCCAGTTCAATGAACCGAATGCAGCCTTAATAACAGGAAATATAGAACAATTGTTGGGATGCAATAACGTCGCACTTACGTGCGACGTTCGAGCATGTGAAATCGTGAGCGATACATCCATGACCCGACGTTTTCTCGCACACCAGATTTTTCACACATTTTGCAGAGCCTATGGAGCATGATAGTAGTCAATATTTCAGACGTTAATAGTAGCAGATTACTACCCCGATGATTATGATATATACTATGTAAACTGCTTTTATAAATGGACATAACAATGACTATTTCAGGGTGACAACACACTCTTAGTCTGCTATATCCTTTCAAAGAACATCGTTAGTTCCCTGAATACAGTTTCACCCTCATCGTTAGACAGAATCCGGTAAGGTATCTGGGTCGAGTGCCATTGGAACCTTAGAACTTGAAGTTCCTCAAGGGTATCCACCTCGTTAGGCAGGTCTGACTCGAATAATAAACATTATATATATATATATATATATATATATATATATATATATATATATATATATATATATATATATATATATATATGATAATATACAAAAACAGTGTGGCTTAATTTGAATGAAGTTAACTTCAAGTAAATAGACAGACATACCATTGAAGTGCCCTTCTTAATCATCCCTAGTAGCATACCTGAAGATACATTAGGCGGTCAGACTAGAAAGAATTGTATGTAAAAATAAATATATTCTAGAAAACCATAGAGGGAAGAAAACATTGAAGGACTCTAACCGCTCAGACAGTGCCACATGAAGTAAGTTCCAGTATCCTCTTTCCTAATATTATGACATGCAAGAACGACAACCGATCTGTTAGTTTGTAAGCAACAGGGCTAGACTAAAGGGTATTTGCTTAGTGTCTACAGCATATAAAAACACTTAGGGAAATGAAAACCGAAAAGGTGACTAATAGTTTGTATGTATATTCATCACATAACTTGATTATACAATCAATTCATAGCCAAAACACTGAATAGCTATAAAAATGGCTGACGAAACATCAACAACCAAGAAATTAACAGAAGAAATTAGGCAGAAAAAACACTTAATGGATTTATGTTCAATAAACAAACATCACACCAATTAGAAAAAAACTGACAATCAAAGAAGAGCATTAAAAAATTGAAAAAAAACCTTTAGCATTTCAAAGATACAATTGTTTTCTACACTGACTGCCTACTTCTAACATATTTTTCAGATAGGTATGAATATTGGACTCATCTTCCGAAGTATTACCAGAACGCACTTTCTCTGAAATATATACAGCCACCTTGTTCAAATCGTCTAAAACAGTTGAAGACTGTAATATTCTCAAAGCTGCTGTATGAGAATTCGATTTACTCCCACTCGTAACTTGAGACTCGTCCTTTGGCTGTAAAGCTTCAAATAACCATTCAATTAATTCAGGCACACATTTTCCAGGTGCTATCACTGGCCAACCAATAATTATTTGAGCAAATAAACAGGTAGCAGCTAAAGTTGCAGTTGTTGCTGCTTTCAGTAGATCATCACAACTACTAGCACTGCGTACAGACTCTTTTAGTTGTATTTCAACTTGAACAGCTAATTCATTTGCTTTAAGTCGTTCATCTCGTTCACGTTTGTTGTCAGATGAATGAAATGCAGGAATAGTTAAACCGAGGTTGTTCACTGATAGGTTTTCCAATGAAGTATAAAAGGTACTAAGAGACTTGGGACTATCTTGACCAACTTTTAAACTATCAAGAACCTGTTGTATTGCAGTACTCAACAGAGTTGCATCCTGCAAACCAGTGCGTTTTAACAGATCGTTCAAACGATGAAATGACTCAATGCTCAAAGGTTCAATAGTACTCGGCCCAGCGGCGTTATCTGGATGAGAAGACTGTGAATTCAAATGATCAGCCTTACGAGGGGTTGTCGATTCGGGCCATGCGATTCCAAATTCATGGACGATATAATCACAAATTCGCCTAAGAATAAGTAAACCATGGTTCTTCAGAAGATGTATTAGTAACTGGTGTTTCAGAGATGCACAAGTTATCGATGAAATTCCTCTCTCCAACAACTAAAAGAAAATAATTGGCTTCAACTATTTGAGACAGTAACATAATATAAAGGCATTAATTTAAAATCATCGAATATACATCCTGAATAAGTGTAGAAAGTATGAAATTGGATGGAAGTCAAAACCATTTCAAGGGTTTAATTTGAAGAATAAAACAATATGCTCTAATTAAACAAGAGTCAATTTTTGTGACTACCAAATCCACATGATTTGCGTATTCCTTCGACTGCAGGACGATAATAATCGTATGGATATATATATATATATATATATATATATATATATATATATATATATATATATATATATATATATATATATATATATATATATATATATATATATCCACCCCAAGTAAAATATTAAGCCGCATCATCCTGGAGAGGCTTAAAGACGCACTGGATTCAAAACTGCGACCGGAACAGGCAGGCTTCAGGAAGTACAAATCATGTGCTGACCAAATTGCAACGCTTCGTATCATCATAGAACAGAGCGTAGAATGGCAATCAGCTCTATACCTCAACTTCATCGACTTTGAGAAGGCCTTTGACAGCGTCGACCGAGAAGTAATTTGGAAACTGCTTCAATACTACGGAGTACCGCAAACCTTTATCCGCCTCATTCAACAACTATATGAAGATGCCACATGCCAAGTAATCCACAATGGAAGCTCAGTGATGCCTTTGAAGTGAAGACAGGAGTGAAACAAGGTTGCCTACTATCCCCCATGATATTCCTAATTGTGGTGGACTGGATCATGCAGCAAACAGTAGGCAGCGAGAAGAGGGGGATACACTGGACGACGGAAAAGAACCTAGAAGACTTGGATTTCGCCGATGACTTATGCCTAATGTCACATAAACTTGAAGATCTGCAGGCAAAAACTAACAAGTTGACAGAGGAGGCAGCTAAGACGGGACTTCAGGTGAATATAGAGAAGACAGAAGTGATGAAGATACCGCACCACCACCATCAACAACAACAACAAACTCCAATCACCGTCAACGGTAGAAACTTGAAGGAAGTAACCTCCTTCACTTATCTAGGAAGCACTGTTTCAACTACAGGCGGGACGGACGAGGACGTCAAAGTCAGAATCGGAAAAGCAAGACAGGCATTCATTAGCCTGAAACCAGTGTGGAGATCTTCTGCACTCAGCATGCGGAACAAGATACGGATTTTCAACACCAACGTCAAGTCAGTGCTCTTGTATGGCTCAGAGACTTGGCGCGTCACGAAAGGCATTTCCAATAAACTACAGACATTCATCAACAACTGCTTACGCTCGCTGCTGAAGATCAGATGGCCAGAAAAAATAAGCAACAAGGAACTCTGGGAACGAACCAACCAAGAACCTATCACGCAACAAATATGCAGGAAGAAGTGGAGATGGATTGGGCATACACTGAGAAGGCCGACTGAGGACATCACGCGTCAGGCCCTCGAGTGGAATCCCCATGGGAAGCGACGAGTTGGACGTCCGAGGGTGACATGGAGGAGGTCGTGCGAGGAGGAAATGAGAGCTTCTGGGCTGTCGTGGAACCAGGTTCAAAAGATCTCAGAGAACAGAGGTCACTGGAGGCGTGCTACTGAAGCCCTATGTTCCACTAGGAACCCAAGGGACTAATAATAAATTATATATATATATATATATATATATATATATATATATATATATATATATATATAAATCCATTCAAAAACCATCTGTTTCACAGAAACTAGCGTTATCAAGATAGTTGTCCCTTTGTTTGAGTAACTCAAATGAAGGAAAACTTAGGATTAAAATCAAATAAAACTGTATGGAGCCGCTTATCGAAAACGAAGAAGTATACAACACTGTCACGAAAGTTTGACTGAAAATTTCCTACTTCAAGGAATAACAGCGGTTGGACTGAAAAATTTACAAACGAAAGAACCGTGGTGACCATTGTGACTAGGTTTCAGAGGTTGCTGGAAAGATAAATGTATCTACTAAATTCATCATTTCATTCACAGATGAAACATGGCAATTCTTGACATAATCTTTGGCTTTTCATTTGAGTCGCATAAGCGTAGGTCAGTGGGGACGGTGGAAATAGGCGGTTGAAGAATGCAATTAATTGGACTCGAAGTGGAAATGCACTAAGCAACCTTGTACACATTCGTGCAGTAGGCAATGAGCCACACATAGTGGGGGAGAACTAATGATACAACCTGTCTACACAAACATCAGTAATTGGAGAGGTGTTCGAACCCGTGACTCACTGTTGCCAAGTCAACTCCTTAAAACAATGATCAGAAAATTCGGCCAGCAGCTGTTATACTAACGTGGTGGTTAGGCTTACACACCATCACGACCAACGAACAATGCTAGTGAGAATGTTTGCCACCTGAGTTCCTACCGTACCAGAAAGGTCTGTTGAATAGTGGAGAGACAAAAAGCAATCACTGCTATAGTACAAATAGCTGTTATTATGGAAGTCTGAAGGCGGAGCCGCACATTAAGCTGAAAAAGTGTGTAACAACAGTGAGGTGTCTACCTCGAATTATCAACGATGCTATGTCGCTTCTGTTTTATCATAAGGAGAGTTGCATAAGTTTGTTTTAAATAACAACACAAACCACTGACCGAAGATATTCCAGTGCAGAAAGCACTGATCATCTATTTAGATTTAAATAATTCCATGCTAAAATGCACAACTTTGTCAGCTCTTAAGTTTCTTCTGACTGCTATCCATCTCCTCCATCATTACCTTCTAATCTTCCTTCACGTCTCTCAATTAACGATACTACATCATCTTCAATTTCTCCTACCTTTGCAGACTTCGACAACGATCTGAATACACAGAATAGGCTACGTTAGCAAAGACTGTAGCAACTCGGGCCATGGATGTGTGCTGTGTTTGTGAGACACACATACAGGACCCAAGTGTGGTTATTCACCTGACCAATCTGGTGAATCCGCAAAATTCACCCTTCGAGTTTCTGCAGATTCGATAGCTAGCTCTCGTGGTTTTGCAGGTGTAGGCATAGCACTAAGCACTAGGGCAGAAAACTCACTACTAGACTGGATCCCAGTTTATAGTCGCCTCTGCGCTATGAGGCTCAACGGCACAGTAAGAACTAAAAGGAATAGTGAGACTCGCCGTTGTCTCTTTGTAATCTCTGCTTACGCACCCACTGACTGCGGCTCGGATGAAGTGAAGGACGAGTTCTACCGTAAACTGTCTAACCTCCTCTCGAAAGCCAAACGTTCGGACGTGGTGGTTGTTGCAGGTGACTTCAATACACAGGTGGGTAAACTGAGTAAGGCAGAAAGGCACTTACGCGGCACTTTCGGAATCCCAGCTGAACGTACAGATAATGGTGATCGCCTACTACAACTATGCTCAGATAACCGCCTATTTTTAGCCAGCACCAATTTCAGACATAAAGAAAGGCACTGTCTGACCTGGCGTCCACCGAGCTCAACTCAGCGATAGACACAGATAAACCACATTGCTATTAGTCATCGCTGGAGAGGATCGGTGGAAGACTGCCGTTCCTTCTGGAGTACGTGTTTGGACAGCGATCATGCGTTGGTCCGAGCACGTATATGCCTGCGTCTCAATGGATGTAGAAAAAATTTGGCAACAAAACCACTACGAGTGCTGCTGGAAAACGGAAACACCAAAGCCGTGTTCAGTGAGAAGTTGGCTAGGCAGTTATCGGAACAAAAGACTGTCACTCATCCAGAAGAAGCTTGGTGCCTTCTTCAGTCTGCTGTAAAAGCAGCACTGAATACTGTAACCGACTCCAAAATGGTGGCTAAAAAGAGCCAGTGGATATCAGCAGCTTCTTCCGAACTAATGGATGCACGTGAACGCCTCCCTGCAGGCTCTGAGTACAATGAAGAGCGAGCGCAACTTAAAAGTAGGCTGATGAAAAGTCTGCGCAACGATCGTGAACAGTGGTGGGCAGCGAAGGCTAAAGAGATGGAAAAGGCAGCGGCGATCGGTAATAGTAGACAGTTATTTAGACTTATTAAGGAGACTGGGGGGAAAAGATCAACCACAGTTAGTGAGGCTATAGCGGAGAAGGATGGATCTGCAATTCACTCGCAGGGGAGACGACTGGAACGATGGGCAGAACACTTCGAGGAACAGTTTAACTGGCCTCCAGCCACGATTGCGTTGCCCGCTATCCAGTCAGATCCTGAATGGGACATAGAGATAGACGCCCCAACACTAGAAGAAGTTGAGAAAGCGGTAGGTAACCTGAAACGAGGAAGGGCAGCAGGACCAGACGGACTACCTGCTGAGGTATACAAGAATGGTGGTAGAGTGCTCTTAGTCAGGTTAACGGAAGTGTTAGCTAGTATATGGGAATCAAATACGATCCCCTCCGACTGGTCTAAGTCACTCATTATCCCTGTCTTCAAGAGAGGCGAGGAGTCCTCTTGTGATAACCACAGAGGAATCAGCCTGACGAACATAGTATCTAAATAAATGTGGTCCATAGAGGTATAAAGATTTACAAGGTTGAGTAGCAAGACATCGGTGCACTTCATGTTTTCAGAAGTTATACGATCTGGAAGAAGCTTCACACCTGAGACTCATACTCGCTGAGAACTATAAATAATATAAGTACGCAATATCACAGAAACTTATGCGCTCATTATAGTCCAATACATTAACACTGAGGCACTAGAACCACTGACGAGTGCCTGAAAGCCTTTGGTAATGATCTCAAACAAACCACACGGAAAACAGATGTAAACATGCGCGATTAATCAATAGAAAGATATTCACTGACCTAGCACGTAAAATAAGAACCTAAATACCAGGAACCTCCACTGTTTTCAATGAGTAAGTATCTACTGACAACCTCGAGGCTGATAGAAATAATTTTTCCAAAGAATAAGGGATCTCACTAAATAACTGTTTTTCATGCAAAATATGACTTAATGAACTGTGAGATCACTGTCCTACTTAAGTTATGGATAGTTATTTTAATCTCATGAGAGTTTTGGAAACTCAAATGCTGATTTAAAATATCATATAAAATAATGTTACGAATATGAGTATTTTGCTTCTCTAAATATTGTTAGAAAGTAGTTCATATCCTGAAAATATATTTTTTGATGAACTATTGAAAACTAACTGTTTTCTTTTGGCTTCACATAGCTCAGCGCAGTGAACTACTGATCCCAACTGATAAGTATGGCTTGTTGATGACTGAATTGTAGAGCAGGCGTAAAACATCATAAATAACTGGGTTGAGAAAGGCTGACGACTACTTTTCCACTGGCAACAAGCTCACTGTGAAATCTACAAGTCATGTATTCGACCTGACATCATCAGAGTTTCGAAGGGTAAGAAACAGAAATTCTATCCCTAGTAGTTTTCCATTGATTTGCAAATAATCCTACTCCTTGATGAAAATTATCTTCAACCTAACTAATAACATCGAAAGCAAAAGCCCTAAAAGATTTTTTTACCTGTACACTGAGAAGCATACTGTTGATCACATCCTGTGTTTGGATTTTTTGTTCACGGTCGAAACTAGTATCTGAATTGGGTGATAACAAAGAATTGATATAACGTGTGAATGATTGCAGTAGAGAAGGTTCCATAAGGTCAGCAATCTGATCGATGACTTCATCTGGTACATCACTTGGCAACTGTGATGATAAAATACTTTTGACTTCGTCTATCAGGATATAACGAGTAAAGATATCTTTAAGTAACGATTGTGGGTCACCGGAACCACTGAGGGTATCATCTTCTGCGTCATTATTTGTTGATAGATGACTAGTTTTACGTTTACTTGGATTATACTTTTTCTTCACATTTTTTGTTTTAATTTCGCGTGCACCAAAACCAAATCCACCTTTCGAGGACGACACACCTTGTTTTAAAGTTGTATTAACTTCTACAGATTGTTGTTGTACTGGATTTGATAGAAGCGCATGACGTTCACAATGGAAGGCAGTTTGAGCTTTTTTCTTCAAATATGCTTCGAGAAAAGACATACACCCTTCAATAAATTTATCAGAAATTACATATGTGCTATCAATCAACTTGACAGGAAGATTTTTCAACAATGGATTAATAAGCGCCAACCTTTCAGCTGAATCTAACCCACTTGGAACGTAGTGGGATAAGTCTACCCAAGATACATCATGGACTACGCCAGCAATGAGCGCTTTCAACTGATCAACGATTAAGGCATTAACTGTAAGACCTTGGAGATGTACAGCATTTGAGATTTTAGTCTTTAAATACGAACCCGGATCCATAATTTTGAATCGCTTTAGGTAATTCCATTCAACATATCCATTTTGATCGTAGAATGAGTTAATATATGAGTCTTCAGCATGAGTATAACATTGCGGAACAAATGTACTGCGACCTGCAATGAGACTACCACACAATCGACCAGTACTTATTAGACTTGAGACGGTACTGCTCATTAAGTTCTCAGGTACTTGAAGTTTTGAAGCAACTGAATTTAAAGTAACAGGACGAATAACACCAGTGAAATAACCACGAATTTTCGCCTTTGTAGCGTTGAGAAACGTATCTGTAAAGTACTTTTCTCCATATTTATGCACACGAAATAAAGTACTTTGATATTCTTGCATAATATTTGATATGAATGTCGTGGGTAAACCAAATATAGTTGTTAGTTCACCAATACTTGTCTGACCTTGTTCTTCTAGTCTATCCAAAATCTCATGAGCTACACGTCGTACATATGAACTGTTGACAACTTCACTAGGTATACTGATTAAACGACATGGGGATTTGCTTTGTGCATCCAGAGCTATCAACTCAATAACTCTTGATTCAATTATTTCGAAATCCACATCAAGATTTGATGCTAGCTCAGTAAGAGATATTCTGCCAGAGTGTGCTTCAACTTCATCACGTATCTCCTTATCAAGTTCGTTTCGAGTTAAATATGATCGTCCATCGTTTGAGAAAACCAATTTTAATCTGTTTACAGAAATCAAGTGTCGGATAACATCAACCCATGTTCTGTCAGAAAGTCTACAGATATTAGATTGATCCTGTGTTTTTTTGAGCTTATTGGCAAGTTCTCGAACTTCATCCCAAGTTGCCATTTCGTAATAAAAAGCAGAAAGCTAAAAATGTTGCTGGAATGAATAAAAGTGGGATAACCAAGACTTACCCAATCAAAAAATACATTATTAAATTCAAATCCAATATAAAGTAAGAGACATTATAAAACTGGTGAATTTAAAACTATTAATTACGTTAGTTTACAGCTTTCCAAACCTGATACACGGTTGTGGATAATATCCTTCAATTCTGCAATATTCTGTTGCAATAAAATTCACGCTATCACATGATAATGCTACAAAGAAAATCACCACACCCCGAACATATGATACTGAATACTGTGCGGTAGTTGTGTACAAGTTTTATCGTTTATCGAGCACAAAAGCCAATATACATATGAAGAAAATCATGCCAATTTAGCAGAAATCTTCAAAATTGTTATCTGATAAGTTAGTGACTATGTAAATAAATGTCCTATTACGCTTTATCATTCAGGTGTGAATTAAAGGTATATCCCTTTGATCATGCATTAAATTTTCGGTGGGCAGTGGTGCATGATAATTTGATCTAGACATGGACCGATAATTTGAGTTAAACACTGTTAGTAACATAGCATGTGAACTAAGGGAATAACATTTCTTAAAATCATAAGTAGCATAAAGAATGGTTTGTGCTCACCCTCTTCACATAAACACTTTTCTACCATATCACTTTTTCTACCCACCTCTTTGTTGCATGCTGCTGTGAAGTATGCTTACTTAAACCGATGTACTTCTGTGCCAGCTTCTACAATAATTTCCTGCTTAATTTATCTAGCCTACACGCATTTAATTCTAATAGTACCTTGGATATATATATATACAGCAATCTCAACATGACTTCGGAGTATTGGCACACGTAAGTAACAGAAGTCTGTATATCACAGGGGATAATACTAAAAATCTCACTGTTAATGATCACATGTCAGTTCATAACGATAAAATTCAGACTACTGAAACTGAAAAACACATGGTAGCACTGCTTTTAGAACAAAATAACATTACACTCACTATTGTCAGAATATAAGACGTAAAGTAACACATGAAGGATACCCAAACGTAGTTGATGAATTGTGACCAGAACCTGAGAATTCACAGTTTAAAACATTTAGAATTTCATTTCGAAAATATCTAGAAGTGAACAGCTTTAAATATTGACAGCTAAGCCTATCATAAACATTAATTTTCGGTATATAGTTCTAGTAATGACCCTCGACTGCGAAGCCTAAGGTTATTGTTCAAGAGTTCATATACCAAGTAGGAAACCGGTTCAAACACTATCTTACCTAATGTGAAGCGAGGAGTCAGATGGCATGCTTACTTATCAGACAATATGTATGATTAACACTTAGATACACACAAGACGCCTTAATTACTGAAGACCATGTTTCTTCACCGACTTTTTTTTAGCATAATAAAAGCAATCCCAGATAATCTTACTTTGACAACTGCCTGGCTCATTACCTCTTCAAAACACAATTGCTTCAACCGGAATGGAGGGACTCTTCAGTTATATGCCTTTTGAGCACTCTGAAATACATATGTTTGAACTAACACGCGATCAGTCTAAACACGTAAACCAGAAGTGACTACAAATTTTCACTAATATTTTCTAGCAGTTGCTAATAGAAAAATTATTTATCTACCTACTACTTGGTTGAAGTTTAAGGTTGCTTTGCCTAACGATTTATTTCAGGTTAAGGCTGGTAGGGTAAAAGCGGTTGTCGGAACAAAATTTCAGAAAACGATCACAAATGTCAACTCCTTAAGTATAAAAACTTTGAGTAAATGGAGAGACACCATTCTACTTAGCTATTATTCATACTTAAGCAATTAAGTCACTAACTAGTTATCGAACGCATAAACATCACAGTCAGCTTTCACAAGCTTATTGAATAACTGTCCACTTATCTAATCGTTAGTTTCGGCGTGGGTAAACTGGTAGTATCATAAGCTTTTACATAAGCATAGCTCATAGCCTAGTACATAAACAAGTTCTGAGTTGAGTTATATTATTATACAATCTTGCAGTCAAGTCTTATGTAGATAACTTACTGTCGAAAACACCACTTTATATTTAGAGGAATACGCCAATCTACCTTTCCGTATACGGTTGAAAAACTTATCAGTCAAACATTTACAAGAATCAACATAGCTAGCAAAATACATGAACTTTTCAAATATTTTCAACTGTTCATCTACGAACAGTGAGTGCAAAAACATAATGCAACTGACCTGGCAAAACCGTTTCGAGTCCGCTCGATGCAAAATACATATCTTAATTGAGGACACTAGCTGCTTACCCATTAAATCCAACCTGAGTAACCCGTATGTTGTCGCTTCGTAAGTGGCTTAATGTTATCCTATCATGAAGCATAAGAGATTGAGGTTGAAGTTGCTGCAGTCTGACTGATTTCCGTCTCGAAGTGCTCCACACAGCGTTTGTCATATTTAAAGACTGTTGATAGATATAACCACAGCCTTGCATATTATATGAATTCGATGTACCACAGTGATACTTACTGAAGATTATATCGAATAAACATACAATATGACATTAAATTCTACCACAGTGCGCAAGTTTTACTTTGATACAAGTACCACCTACCTCATATATCCTCTCAAAGAAAGCAGCTTTTTGCTGCTGGTAGCTCGAGGGGGCTGGAATAGCTACTGGATATTGCTGAGTATAGCTGCTGTTTCCATATCACTTTTGCGTTTCGACATCCAGACCTCACAGCTTTTACGTAGGTGCAGTGTGATTTGCTACGCAAGCAAATCACATATATCCTTGTACTCGCTAAAAGTTAGAATAGAGAGACAAGAGTTAATAGTTGCAGAGTACTCTCAAAAACCCTGTGACTATAAACTGGATCTTCATTAAAGATGAGAGCAGTCTTAACCGCTATTTTTATGCTGTCTTGCAGATGCAACTAATGGTCACTTAGACCTCTCGGAGTTTCAGCAGCTAGTCTTAAATCTAAATCGAACTGATATTGTATTGCAATAGCAGGTACAACCAATCCGCTTACGTCGAACTGTTCAGAACGATTTTGATGACCACCAAAACGTAAGATGAACTTAGCACACAATAAAATGTGATCAGAGTCTCAGATGGTGCTGCAGAAGCAGAGGTAGACCTGAATACATCAACGCCATCCTTAACTGCACTGACATTTATTTACTTTCAGTTTGAGAGTCAAAGGGAAGACAATGGAAGGCGAAAAAACAACCGCTGTGTCGGAGGTTGGTGCTGGATAAAAAAAAAGGTTGTAATATGCACAAAGCTGCAGGAAATAACCCCATTATACAATGAGACCGACTAATTCATATTGGCTACCTACAAAACGCTCCCCTGTGCCCAGGCACCCGACATATCCCCTTAAGTAATCAACTAGCACTACGTTATCTGTCTAGGATACCTGGTAGAGGTCATGCTAGTGATGACAGAACATATTCTTAACAGTATCCTGGTAGCAGTTTATCGGGACATAGGCAGAGATGACAAACAAATATCTTTTACTACATCAGTTACTTTTCGTTCTGATCACACTTAATCTAACAGCAAACACGACTATTAGTTGAAATTCAGTCAGGTAGTGCAGCTTGGATACACAAGCAAGGTGGGCTACAGATGCCACAAGGTCCTCATATAAGGGCATGGTAACAATACTTTTTGGGATGATAAATAAAGAATTTATTTAAAACAATTCACTTGGATTCTGTAAGCGAGTCTTAGGGACAGCACAAACCAGTAGCGAAGCCTTTTAGAGTCCTAGCCAAACTTTTCGGTTATCCGATCTGCATCACGGTTCATATGTTAGAGACAAGCTTTAGGCGGTACGAATGGTTTTAGAATAGTTGAATTAAGCATCTCACTGAAGGACAACTTTGTGACACCAATTATTTAGTGACTCCAAACAATAAAGGTAAACTAGAATTTAGAAAATAGGGAGACCAACTGAGTAGAGTAATATGAGAGATTGAAGTAAAAATGGGAAAAATGAGATATTTTATATAAAAATACGATAACAATATCAGTCAGTCAATATCAACATGAGACCTGGCATTACTGCGTAACGGTTCCAGTTGCCACAACTGGCGTAAATACATCAAGATGAAGGATGGAGAAATAAGGAAGGACATGGTCAAAAGTAGCAGTCTCCAAAAACAAGAATAGGGCATAAAGCAACGAAGCGATTCGGCAAGGCGATAAACATGAAGACAATATTTGGCATCTGCACCACAGATTAATTCCTAGCTAGATTCGAACCCCATGCCACCTATTACGGTCTGGGCAACCACGTATTATTATAGGCCCCCACACAATGGAATGTGCCTTACAGTCTAGTACGTAAACCTGTACCGAGTTGAGCTACATCATATACATCACCTCAATACTCCCAACACGTGTTGGTTGTCACTCGAACACTAGCCTGAAAGTCTACATTTACCTACAAGAATGAGACCGTCAGAGATTTCATGGCAAGATGTCATGTTTTATTTTGAACCCATTTAACCTTTATTGGGGCTAGACCCGCATCAGCAAACAACCAGCAACAGGGAAGATAGTGACTGCGTATGCGATAACAATTTATTTAAAATATGTACAATTGAGTTCATGTTAAGAGATACGCATACAGAAGCACACTGCTATATCAATGGTGCACTCCTTGAAATTCTGACCTGAGTTGCAATGGACAAAGTGATAGAGCAACATCAGGGGTCACACCCACAGAGTGACAAAAAGAGATTTATACGTCATTCATTCGTTCACAATTCGGGAGTCCATGTACACAACTGGTTTAAAATCAGACATTTACAACTTCCCTAGGTGCACCACTTAAAACCTCCGGAAAAGGCGATAACTCGATTGCTTCGCACCGATAACTGCTACCTTGACGTGGCGTTCGGACTTCCATATCACAATGACCCAACAAGCTATGCTGGTGGAACGCTTGTTCCCTCGAGGTCCTACCATACCAGAAAGGTCTGTTGGATAGTGTTTAGACGAAAAGCAGTTACCGTTATAGTGTAAATTGCTACACTATGATGGGGGTCTGAGGGCGAAGTCGTACTGCTGCTAGCTGGATGGGGTGTGACAGCAGTAAAGTGTTTCCCTTGGATGACCAGCAGTGCCATGCTGATGCTGCCTTCTCAGTGGAAGGGGGGGGGGGTTAGAAAAGGTCGGCCCCAAAAATAACACACTCCACCATACCCCATGGTCTACCGGACAGGCGGTGTTGGTTCATTTGTCGTTTCTTTTCGACCATCCGACCCCAAAAATACAAAAGTTCAAAATAATCATATTCAAAAAGCTTCGTGTGACAGGCCTCAAGCAGATGTCCAATGGGCTCTGCGGTCACACAAATCTCTTTCAGGTACCTTATGAAGAAATAGCCTTCCACGGTGTGGGCAGCCGGGAAGTGTCAACTGCCCTCACAAATCTGTCAGCACTCAAGTTTCTTCTGACTGCTATCCATCTCCTCCATCATTACCTTCTAATCTTCCTTCACGTCTCTCAATTAACGATACTACATCATCTTCAATTTCTCCTACCTTTGCAGACTTCGACAACGATCTGAATACACAGAACAGCATCACTGGTCTCCTTAAACCACGCTCCAAATTACATATTGGAGCCTTCAATGTCCGCACCCTCCGTCAAATTGGTCAACAGGCTTTGTTGGCAGACTTCGTTAGCAAAGACTGTAGCAACTCGGGCAACTCGTTGGCAGGCTTCGTTAGCAAAGACTGTAGCAACTCGGGGCATGGATGTGTGCTGTGTTTGTGAGACACGCATACAGGACCCAAGTGTGGTTATTCACCTGACCAATCTGGTGAATCCGCAAAATTCACCCTTCGAGTTTCTGGAGATTCGATAGCTAGCTCTCGTGGTCTTGCAGGTGTAGGTATAGCATTAAGCACCAGGGCAGAAAACTCACTACTAGACTGGATCCCAGTTGATAGTCGCCTCTGCGCTATGAGGCTGAACGGCACAGTGAGAACTAAAAGGAATAGTGAGACTCGCCGTTGTCTCTTTGTAATCTCTGCTTACGCACCCACTGACTGCAGCTCGGATGAAGTGAAGGACGAGTTCTACCATAAACTGTCTAACCTCCTCTCGAAAGCCAAACGTTCGGACGTAGTGGTTGTTGCAGGTGACCTCAACGCACAGGTGGGTAGACTGAGTGAGGCAGAAAGGCACTTAGGTGGCACTTTCGGAATCCCAGCTGAACGTACAGATAACGGTGATCGCCTATTACAACTATGCTCAGATAACCGCCTATTTTTAGCCAGCACAAATTTCAGACATAAAGAAAGGCACTGTCTGACCTGGCGTCCACCGAGCTCGACTCAGCGATGGACACAGATAGACCACATTGCTATTAGTCATCGCTGGAGAGGATCGGTGGAAGACTGCCGCTCCTTCTGGAGTACGTGTTTGGACAGCGATCATGCGTTGGTCCGAGCACGTATATGCCTGCGTCTCAATGGACGTAGAAAAAATTTGGCAACAAAACCACTACGAGTTCTGCTGGACAACGAAAACACCAAAGCCGTGTTCAGTGAGAAGTTGGCTAGGCAGTTATCGGAACAAAAGACTGTCACTCATCCAGAAGAAGCTTGGTGCCATCTTCAGTCTGCTGTAAAAGCAGCACTGGAGACTGTAGCCGACTCCAAAATAATGGCTAAAAAGAGCCAGTGGATATCAGCAGCTTCTTCCAAACTAATGGATGCACGTGAATGCATCCCTGCAGGCTCTGAGTACAATGAAGAGCGAGCGCAACTTAAAAATACTGACGAAAAGTCTGCGCAACGATCGTGAACAGTGGTGGGCAGCAAAGGCTAAAGAGATGGAAAAGGCAGCGGCGATCGGTAACAGTAGACAGTTATTTAGACTTATTAAGGAGACTGGGGGGAAATGGTCAACAACAGTTAGTGAGGTTATAGCGGAGAAGGACGGATCTGCGATTCACTCGCAGGGAAGGCGACTGGGACGATGGGCAGAACACTTTGAGGAACAGTTTAACTGGCCTCCAGCCACCATTGCGCTGCCCGCTATCCAGTCGGACCCTGAATGGGACATAGAGACAGGCCCCCAACACTAGAAGAAGTTGAGAAAGCGGTAGGTAGCCTGAAACGGGAAGGGCAGCAGGACCAGACGGACTACCTGCTGAGGTATACAAGAATGGTGGTAGAGTTCTCTTAGTCAGGCTAACGGAAGTGTTAGCCAGTATATGGGAATCAAATACGATCCCCTCCGACTGGTCTAAGTCACTCATCATCCCAGTCTTCAAGAAAGGCGAGAAGTCCTCTTGTGATAACCACAGAGGAATCAGCCTGACAAACATAGTGTCTAAGATCCTAAGTTCTATAATTCTCCGACGCCTGAGTGGAGCTCGGGAACAGCAAGCCCGAGAAAACCAGGCAGGCTTTAGACCTGGCCGTGGATGTATCGACCAAATATTCACACTGCGCCAGGTCCTGGAACATAGGCATGCTTACAGACGCCCGACAATAGCTGTATTTCTCGACCTGAAGGCGGCATTTGACTCCGTTGATCGAGAAGTCTTATGGCAGTGTCTGTCACTGAAAGGCGTGCCTAGTAAGTACATCACCTTATTGAAAGCTCTCTACTCGAACACTTGTGGGCATGTTAGAGCCTATGGTGAGTTGTCCAGGGAGCTATACTCATCAAGTGGTGTCCGTCAAGGATGCCCACTATCCCCATTCTTATTTAATTTTATCATAGATATTCTTATGGAGGTTTCCCTCTCGTCACCTAATTACAAAGAC